CCCACGCTATGAGAGACGTTTTGTTACTGTGGTAAATCACAAGAAGAGAAGACCCCCCCCCCACCCCCCCACCACACACACACACACTGCCAGCATCCACCCCGCGCGTGACCTCGCATGACCTCGCGTGACGCGACCACCAACCTCCGTATCGTAGCAGACGCGCCTAGCGATGCGAGAAGCGCTGTGAGCGAGCACACTGTTAATTCTCCGACTCCTTCGTAATGTATATAGTCGCTACGTATAACGATCGGCAGTAAGTAAGGAGGGAGGGAGGGGTGGTGTGGGGGGGGGGAGGTGTTCGTCGTCTCTGACTGTGACACTCCTGGCAGATCGCGTGCTTGCGTATTTCGTGTCGAGGTGAACACGTGGGGGGGGGGTTCCGCTCCTGTGCTACGTGCGGGCGTTACGAGCATAATGAAGGCAACACGCAACACGCAACGTGCAACATGCAACATGCAACACGCAACACGCAACACGCAACGTGCAACATGCAACATGCAACACGCAACATGCAACACGCAACGTGCAACATGCAACACGCAACGTGCAACATGCAACACGCAACGTGCAACATGCAACACGCAACATGCATCATGCAACACGCAACGTGCAACATGCAACACGCAACGAGCAACATGCAACACGCAACATGCATCATGCAACACGCAACACGCAACACGCAACAGCTCATGCAACATGTAATATGCAACGTGCAACACGCAACACGCAACACGCAACACGCAACACGCAACACAACACAAACGGGTGGCTCGTGCAGGTGACCTAGATCAAGAGATCCCTCCCTACTCTCCACCTGCCGAAAAAAAATTGTGGATAGTCACAACAGTGTATATATGTGTCTTATCAGGAGTTAATAAAGACAAATTGTCTTATTGTTGTATGTATTATATTATTGTATGTATTGTCTTAAGTTGTTGTATTATTAAATGTCAATTTGTCTTTATTAACTCCTGGTCTTATGTTGCTATTTACCTTGATTATAGCATTATTAAAGAGTCTATTTCATTTGATTACGCCTTGTAATGTATGATTCACTGAGACTGTATGTCATTAACACCTGAGCTGTTTCGCATGTAGACCTGGATTACTGTGGCACCAAGCGTCCGTGCAGGAATGGTGGCACTTGCCTCAACAGCAAGCCTGATCAATACACGTGCCGATGTCCTCTGGGCTACAGAGGACGCGACTGCCAAATCGGTGAGTATGCACCCACGCACGCACTCACGCCCGCGCGCGCACACGCACGCACGCACGCACGCAATCACGCACGTACGCACGCACCCACGCACACACACACGCACGCACCTACGCACAAAACCATGCACACGCACCCACGCACACACACACGCACGCACCAACGCACGCACACATGCGCACGCACACACGCACGCTCGCATGCATGCACGCACGCACGCACATTCAGTTAACTACATTTCGCCATGTAAAAGTACAAAGATTCTTCTGATTCCTTTTGCGCTCGCGTTTCATCGCGGATAGAGCGCTCGTGGCCTCGTAAAAGCTCAATATATACTTACTAGTTAAGTTAGCACGACCTAAGTTTGTTGCCCAGCGACTAAACGCTATTCAGAGCAGGCATAGATGAAATTGTGCGAAGCCAGCAATAATATCGGCTGCTCATGATAGGCAATGATCGTAGTCGGCTCATCTGATATGTGATCGTGCATCCCTCTGTTTCAGTTAACGATCCGTGCTCTGCAAACCCATGTCGGAATGGAGGCAAATGCGTCACGCTCGATCACACCTACAAGTGCCAATGCGAGAACGCGTGGACGGGCAACCAGTGCGAAACGCGTGAGTTACTGCATGAGGTTTCCACTCGAACGTTCTGTCTGCCTGTCTGTTTGTCTGTCTGTCTGTCCGTCCGTCAGTTTGTCTGTCTATCTGTCCGTCTGTCTGTCTGTCCATCCGTCCGTCCGTCCGTTCGTCCGTCCGTCCGTCTGTCATTTCGTCTGTGTCCACCTGTCTTCTCTCTGTCTGTCTGTCTGCCCGTATACACGGGTAATATGTATGAAGCATGCAGTAGTATTATGTGCAAGACATACGGTAGTAATATGTGCAAGACATACAGATGTAATATGTACAAGACATACAGATGTAATATGTACAAGACATACAGATGTAATATGTACAAGACATACAGATGTAATATGTATGAGGCTGAGCGTCGCTGCTTTGTTGTTGCGCAGGTGTCAACTTCTGCTACTCGAACCCGTGCATGCACGGCGGCACGTGCGAGGAGACTTCTACCGGCTTCACCTGCACATGTCCGGCCGGCTGGGAAGGCAACCGCTGCCAGCTAGGTACGTCACACACTGCCGCCAAACTGTCACACTCATAGCTGCCACACTGTCACACTGTCACACTCATAGCCGCCACACTGTCACACTGTCACACTCATAGCCGCCACACTGTCGTCACACTGTCACACTGTCATCCTGTCACACTGCCACACTGTCACACTGTCATCCTGTCACACTGCCACACTGTCACACTATCATCCTGTCACACTGCCACACTGTCACACTGCCACACTGTCACACTGTCATCCTGTCACACTGTCACACTGCCACGCTGTCACACTGTCACACTGTCATCCTGTCACACTGTCACACTGCCACGCTGTCACACTGTCACACTGTCATCCTGTCACACTGCTACACTGTCACACTGTCATCCTGTCACACTGCCACACTGTCACACTGCAACACTGTCACGCTGTCACACTGCCACACTATCACACTGCCACACTGTTACGCGGTCACACTGCCATACTCATAGCCGTCAGCGCACGCAGGCTAGATGAACATTTTATGGTTAACTTTATAGAGTCTAGTATCAGTCATGGTAATACACGTTGAATCTGCATTCGGTATAGTGCAGTGTATCTGCGCTCCGTGGGTGGCGGTCGGTCGAGGCGTCAGTTTCACACGTGTTTAAGCTGAGCAACATTCTGCGCGCCTTTACACTGAATTAATCGATGTTATTTTTTATACTTTTTTAAAAGTTGTATTGTTTAAACAGATATTATTGTAATTTCGTTGTTGCTTTCGTCCAATTAGCTCCCAAAATCTGTCAAAATCTCAACGTATACACACGCACGCACGCATGCACGCACGCGCACACACACACGCACGCACGCACGCACGCACGCGCACACACACCAGACACTAGCAGTTTCACTGCAATGTACTAGTGCCGCACCACTAGTGATTTCTGCTTGTGTTGTAGATTCGAACGAATGCAGTGGCAGCCCGTGTGTGAATGCGTACGCGTGTACAAACATCCACGGCGACTACGTGTGTGACTGCATGGACGGCTGGACTGGCAAGAACTGCACCATAAGTATGTCAGCTTTCAGCTGCTACAAACAGGCCTGCTCTCATCTACGATCTTCACGTTAATTCACAACACTATTTCTCTCTCTCTCTCTCTCTCTCTCTCTCTCTCTCTCTCTCTCTCTCTCTCTCTCTCTCCATCTATTCTCA